TCCCTCTTGATACATGATGCCACAAAGACATCTACTTATGAGGAAGTTTGCTGCTTGGACATGAGTTGTGATAAGCATTTGCAACCTGAGGGGAATGGATGATAAAACCATACACTTACGCGCCAAAGATACATTAGGAAAGAGACAGTCTATCAGTCACGTGAATTGTGATTGGCCTGTTGCAATGGAATAGCCTTTAACAAAAAAAAATGAAAGCTATTTACCTTCTGAATGGATTATACATAGTTGCACAAAAGGGAAAAGAAATAAGAAGAGAAAGGTTCCCACCAGCTCTTCCCCTCCAAAATTAGCATTGGCATTGGTGAAGTCACACACAAAGGAAAGTCTCACTTTCTTTGTGCCTCTCACAATGACGTCAACATGCATGGCTATGAGATGATGAAAGAATACCTCACTCACAATGAGTAACAAATCAGAATTTTCTTCAAAGTAAAAAAATGATAACACAAGACCATCATAGGTATATGCTAGCTCTTTCAAAACATCTCTTTTTGACTAGATGTAAGTTAAAATCACTTGACTGGCAATCTGTTCTATCTAATACAACACGGGGATATTCTGAATAGGCTGAAGAATGTCTACTATGCAACTTGGCTGGAACATCTGCCAAAAATGAAGTTGGCTTTGTTTTCAACATGGTTATCTACTTTGAAATTACTCCATAGAATAAATAGTGATATTCCATGGGTAGAGGTAGATTATGGGGTTTAAATAATCAAATTGGAGCCCCGTAACTTTATATGCTATAGGAGGATTCTCATAAAACTGAGATATTCCCATAATTAACCACTAGCCATGGGATATTATAATATATTCCATGGTGACTAGTATTTTTTCCATTTCCCTCCCCCCTCCTAGTATGATTAGTATGATTAATTTTGCTCTGGTTTCATTGCTAACATGAATCAGTATAGTTAAAAATAAGAATACCATATTGTGAGGTGATCACTGTTTAGGCCAAACTGGCCAGTAATGACCAGTCAGACCTTTTCCAGTTGGCCTTTGCCGCTAGAAGGTTGAAAGAGCTGTAACTCACCAACCCATATTTGCCAAAGGAGCATGTTTTAAAAAATGTGGTTCAAAACTCTTCGTAGTTCTAAATGCTAGATTCTAGTGGAATATTATAGAATAGATTGATTTGCATGCCATGGAATAAACATCCTTACATCTAGTCTTGTCTCAGAGTGAGTCATTTTGCATTAGTGTCAAGAATTTGAGCTGTTGTTCTACTTTGCAGTTAATCATCAGAAAGAGACGGGATTGTCTCATGAATATGCATGATGGTATAGTTGTCCCTTCAACTTACTAGGCACCTAGTTTCTGTAATGAGATGTACAATATCTGCCATTTAAAACAGCTGAAAGGTCCCAAATGGGAACAAATGAGAAAGCATCTGGCTGTTTTGAATTCCAGCCCTGTTTTGTCAGAAAACTCTGTAATTGCTGAGTACTTGGCTCCTACTCTGCTCTATGAAGCATTCAGCTCTCAGGAGCCTCTGAGATGCATTACGCAGTCCAGCAACATAGCTGTAGAACTCTCAAAATTCTTCCACTAGATGTAACAGCTCTTCAAAATATCTTGAGACTTGTATGCCCTTAACCAGGACCAAAGTTTGGGCTCCTAGAGCGTGCTCTCATCCTTAGTTTTGCTGATCAGCCTTCACTGTACCATTTGTCCCTGCAACCTAGACTTCACACATATTATTCACTGTGTGATGGTGGGACTAGAATGGATAAATGTGCTACCCATTGCTCTAAGAAAGCAGTCTGGCTGAATCTTAAATCACTACGCGGGATGGAGGTTAACGGTCAGATGGACATTCCTCTAAGAGGTTTCCTACCTGCTCTGTTAATTTCTAAAATTTCTTCTTGGGCCAGTGGGCAAGTGTCGCTCTGAGTACTGTGGTGTGGAGAGTTTACGACAGATTTACAATAATTGGGGGATCCCAGCTGGGGTGGCCTCGGGATATGCTTCTTTTTTTTCTTTGGTAGCTTCTGCTTAGCCATAGCTAAGGAGTAATACATTCCGAAATTGTTCACAATGACAGGGACAGGCATGGCAATGGTCAGCACACCAGCGAGAGCACAGAGGGCCCCCACCAGCATGCCTGACCAAGTCTGAGGATACATGTCTCCGTAGCCCAGGGTCGTCATGGTGACAACAGCCCACCAAAAGCCGATGGGGATATTTTTAAAGTGTGTGTGTTTACTGGCACTAGGGTCATTTGGTTTAGCACCTATTCTCTCGGCATAATAGATCATCGTGGCAAAGATTAAGACGCCCAATGCCAAAAATATGATGAGCAGCAAGAATTCGTTTGTGCTGGCGCGGAGGGTGTGTCCCAAGACCCGCAACCCAACGAAGTGGCGGGTCAGCTTGAAAATTCGCAGGATTCGCACGAAACGGACTACGCGGAGGAAGCCCAGGACATCCTTAGCAGCTTTGGAAGACAGGCCACTGAGTCCAACCTCTAGATAGAAAGGCAGTATGGCCACAAAGTCAATGATGTTCAAAGAGTTTTTGATAAATTCCACCTTGTTTGGGCAGAAAGTGACTCTCATCAAGAACTCAAATGTAAACCAGACCACACAGACACCTTCGATGTAGGTGAGAAAGGCTTCAGTCTCTGCTTCCCTGTAGTGCCGCACCTGGGTGTCATTCCCGATGAATTCAGTTTCTGTCTTGTTCACAATGGGGTTAAATCTCTCATGGGTCTCGAGGCAGAAGGTGGTGATGGAGACCAGAATGAAGAAGAGGGAGGCAAATGCCACATACTGTGGAAAGAAAGATACGAGAGAAATGTTAAACAGGAGGTAAATATACAGGGGCTTTGATTCTGAAGGACCAGGGAGAGACAAGAGCTGTATTAAAACTAAAAATAATGCCAGGCCTTCTTCCTGTGGCCTCAAGATGTCAAGTCTCACCTGCAGACAGCCTAACATTCAAAATAGGAGGGAGAGCAGTGTATAAGTACATGCTAACATCCATTCCTATATAGATAGCATTTTAGTGTGCGTGTGAATTTAAGCAAGCATTTAAATCTCAGAGCTTTCTGTGGGATTTAAAGTTAAGGACATATTGAAATTCTGTCTTTCTGAGCTTGATCTTGTATTACTTTCTGGTCTTAAAGACAGAGTGCACCTTCTAGGACAATTGTCATGCAAGAATCTTTTTACAGCATTGTGTCAGTGGTATGGGGTCGCCTCCTGCTCCCAGCTTAGTGACAGCTGTGGTATTTCAGATCTCACTAAGGTGCTAGTAAATACTAGTGGCAGTCTCAGGTGGGGTCTACAGCAATGAGCAGAGTCCTCCTTGGCATCATCAGATTTTCTTACCAAATCCCAGAGACAGGTTGAGGAACAGTCGTACATCAAACCAAGCTCTCCTAGAGTAAACATCTTGTCTGTTCTCAGTTCCCTTCTCCAGGTCTTTCAGGGATGGGGGAGAGGGAGGGGAAGAAAGAGGTTTCAGGCATGCCTGTCAGCTGATCCAGATGGAGGCAGATCTATTGAATTTTACCAGACAAGGTTTTCTTGAAAAGATTGTCATTACAACATAAGGCTTGTACCAGAACTAGGTGAATCTTTTTTAAGGCTGTTTGATTACAATTTGGTTAATCAAGCTACAGTGAAGGTGGTAGCAGCTCCCAAAGTCAATGAGTGTTTGTCTTAGGAGTATTTGCCTCTTCTGCTTCAGTTTCTGCTTTTCTTAGGAGATCTCTTGGTTGTATTCCAGGACAATTGAGGGGGACGGCCAGGCCAAAATTCACAACCCTAGTAATCACAGTTCCTCTGCTCAATCCTCCTTTAATCAGTTAAGTAGTTTGCACATACCTAAGAATACTTTTTGTGTGTTGGAGTGATACAGTAGTGGTAATACCTCTTTCCATTTCACTCCCTACATCTCTTATCTTCCTGTTTGTCTCCTGTGTCACCTTGACAAGAGATGTTACATAAGATATTATTTCACTGTCTTCATGAGCAACTGTAGTAATTAAAATAGTACTCAAATATTCTTATAGTGTCCTGTTATTAATATTATCCCTTTTTCAGCAGTGTAGCCAAAATAGAGGTTAAAAAGAACTAGTTTCTTCTAATTTTCTGTTGCCAGTAAATGCATTGCAATAATCTCAAAGAAATTGCTGCCACAGGAATAGACCAGTTAAAAATACCCTATGCTTCAAGCTACCAAAGCTGTCCTGCAATCAAGAAGTTCCTCCTGTTTCTTTCCTGGGTAGACCTAGTGCAGAATTACGCTTGACCTTCCCTATTAGCAAACAAAGTCAAAACAAGGATTTGCCACACTTGGAGGTGAACTATTTAATAGAATACAGAGAAACTGGCAGAGAATAAAATCACAGAATTGTTTAGGTTGGAAAGGCCCTCTGGAGGATGTTTGGTACATCTTCAAAGTTGGACTAGGTTGCTCAGGGCCTTGTCCAGTCCAGGTGTGAATACCTCCAAGACCTCTCTGGGCAGCCTGTGCCAGCGTTTGGCCAATAAGAGCAAATAAAATTGAAAGGATACAGAAGCAAACAGGCTCTTCTGCTCTTCAAATCCAACTTTGTTGCCAAAGGATCAGAACGTGGCCATTGTCAAAGATTTAAAAAACGCCAGTACCTTCCCCTAAATGCTTCAGTCTATCCTAGCATTGTTATGTGATGATCTAATATATGTGCTGATATGTGCTAAAATCAATGTCTAATATAAATAGTTGTCTGGAAGATAAACAATCTGGAGGTTAGGAAAGTTGAGAATCAGGGCTGCAGGCATCTTTTTATCTGATTCTCCTGTTAACAGGGACATTTGTCTGTGCAGTTTCTCCATCTGTAAAATGGGTTAAAAACAATACCTGCAAGTGTTTATAATGTGGTTTGTGATCCTAGATAAATGCGTACAGGTTCTATATGCTTTCATTTTAATGTTACTAACTTTGGTATATCGACAGTCTCCCTGAAAAATAAGTTTAAGGGTCTTTTAAGCGGTCAAAGTCAGTTTGTGTATGCTATTGTTAACGCTGAGCTTAATTAAGTAGGCGTTAATACCCCAAGTTTCTGAGTATGAATAAAACAAGAAGCAAAAAGCATCTTGTACCAAGAACTCAGGAAAATGTTCCTAGCAGCCTCAGCACCTCTGCTCCATTTTGGCCTGGAGTAGATTTTTACCATAAGTAATTTTACCTGAGAATTCAAGCTGCAGAAGGAAGTGCTGACACGGCGTTAAGTCAGGTAGCTCTCACAGATAAGAAGCAGAGAGGGGAATAAAACCATTTTGCATTTTAAGGGGTCTGTGAAGAAGGCCCCTTTCTTTATGCTGACTCAAAATGCAGTTATCCTCTTGGTGTATATGAGCATCTCTCCTGAGTGAGTTTCTCCTGCTTAGGAGAACCTTCAGGTTGACCTTGCGCAGCAAGTTATCTTGAAAAGTGATGTTTTGCTGTATTAAAGGGAAGAAATAACCAATTCTGACAGGACATTTAAGTTCTCTGCAGTGGTACACGCTAGCAGTGTTATCAGTAGAGAACATCACACCCATGGTTTCTCTTGCTGTTAGTTGTTGTGTGTGCACACCTTGGTTTCAGAGGGGAATGGAGAACTTTTAGTCCACAGTTTAGCAGAGCAGGAAGCACCTGCTAAGTGAACATGAAGTGTTTGCTTCCTTCTGCCTGTATTTAACAACATCCAGGCCCCTTTCCCAGGGATGGGCTTGTTCTTGAATGCTTTGCAGCTTTGGAAGCATGGGTCTGTTTTCAGGATTTCATAAAACCACGTCTGAGCAATGGTATTGACAGGAAGAATCCCAGTATTTCTTCTTCAATTTATTTTTTTTTTTTCCTCTGTTGATTTCCTGTCTAATCCTAACACCTATTTAATATTTAGGAAGTAAAAATGCTCTTTAGTCATTCCGTGCTTCAATATTGAAAGGGCCTTGTTCTTTTTCGTTTTAGAAGAAGGTCTGCACAGACTGAAAGGAGAAGACAACAGAGAGCAGGCTTTTAATAAAGGTGCCATTACAGTTCCCCAGTCCCTTGACTGATCCAAAGAAGTGCAGAAATGCCTGAGAATCAGGTCTGACAATTCGTTCACCGGCACCTATCTCTGAGATTTATCACGTGCAGCTGCTTGGGACGCAGCAGTTTAGCAGCTTGCCACAAATGAATGTGAAATATATCATTGACATAGATTTATGTTTGTGATCCCCAATTTATATTGCCCCCATCCCTTTGTTCTTCTGAGTATTTTTCTTTGTTAATTATCTGATAAAAGATCTAGCAAGCTGTAAGCAAAATCCAATAGCACCAAATTCAGCAAGTATGTTTTTCTAAGGAGACCAGCATTCGTTTATGTCAAAGGGGTCAAAAAGAGCTCTGTCTGGCCCACTGTCAGAGGACAACTGAGATCAGCCATCATGCCTGACACAATAGCTTGTCAAGTCCAGAGATGAGCAATGCTGGCAAAATCTAGTGAAGACTATGGGACTCGTGTGTGTTCTAACATCTTTGAAAATAAGGCTGTCTCTTTTTATTTCACTAATAATGGCCTGAACAATAATCAAACCAATGGATTGCTCTAGTGTTATTTAGTCGTTCTTAATCTTCTTTCTACTTAAAATTTACAACAGAATTTCTCTTCTTCCTAGGATCTGAATGGGCTGGGGGAAAGGAGTGGGGATTTTATGAAGTGATGTCATGTGCTGTTACATAATGGCAGCTAAAATTTTCTATAATTAAAGAAAATACCTAGGTAAAGTGTTGAAGTGATCAAAACTCTCTTATCTGCTTTGACACATGTGAATGATTCCTATTTCACTAGAGATGCTGCTGCTGCCACTGCTTTTTTCTAGCTCTAATACCAACAACGAAAAACCTCAGCTTGTCCAAAACTAAAGAAGCCATAAGAGAAAGCAGAGAAGAGATTTTAAAAGAGGTATTTTGATAAAAATATCAGTTACATTAAAATGTTTTCATTTTGGAGAGAGAAGAAATTACACTCCTGCATTATTTCTGTTAGTAGCAGATATATTTTAATAAGGTTATTTTGAAAGAGTCTAAAAGACATCATACCCATAAGTGGAGAATTTCATAATCCAATTTATATTGCCTCGGATTGAATGTATCTATCTATCTATCTATCTGTCTGTCTCAAAGGCCTGCTTCTCCACTGCCCTATGTCTAACCTAGCCATTTTTGCCAGTGCAGTGTGAATATGAAGTGCCAGTTAATTCAGAATAGTAGTGTTTCACATCAGCTTTGCATAGGTGTAAAAGCAGCATGGTAATGGTATCAGACCTAGCCTCTCATCAGTAACGAGCCAGTATCTTTCCACTCAGCATGGAAATAAAACAAAAGTCCAACATCCTTAAAAACACAAATAAGCCTCCTAATACATGAGGATAGGAGGCTAGGCTTACTCAGAATAAGGTCTGAGGATTGGACCAGACAATATTAAATATACAGGTGTGGCTGTTTACTTCTGGGAATCAGATTTTAAAACAGCACTTTACCTTGTATTTCTGATACAATTCTGATCTTGGAGATAAAAAACCTTTTTTACATTGTAGGGTTTTTTTTAAACAAATAAGCCAAGTAACCCACTAGAATTCATTGATACAGCATCTGGAATTGCCAGACTTCAATGCAGATGGGTAGTGAAGGCTGGTGATGAAAGCACCAGGACAGAAATCAGATGACTGAGGCTCTTTTCCAACCCCAACCACTGATGCATTCTTAGTCTTCAACCATGTGTGCCTACATCTTTTGCACCATCCTTTGTCTA